AGCCCTGTCCCCAGAGCCAGCTGCCGCCAGAGGCTGTGTGTGCAAGATACAGTCACCCTGGGGTGCTCTGAGCCACATGCAGTGGAGCAGGGGGCTGGTTTGCTCCACTGGTTTGCAAGTCCCTTCCCTTGTTCCCATGGCAGAACCAATACCCACTTCCCAGGCAAGCCCTAAGCAGGGGGCCCGGACTTCAACCCCCCCCCGCCATCTCCACAGAGGGGTGTTAGAGTGTGGCTACTACAGAGCTGCCCCAGCAGTGGCTGAATTGGTGGAGTGGGTGTGTGAAATGGTTATGTTTAAAAACCAGGTGCCGAAGCACCGTAAAATCCCACCCCCACCGTGGGAAAAGCAGGGACTGATGAGCTGTGCCCAGGCCTGAGCGCCACAGATGCTCCCAGCGATTCCATGCGTCAGCCGCTTACCTGCTTTGTGCCTCACTTTTTGTGCGTGTGTGTGTGTATCGGTTCCCACGCGTATGAGTAATGTGATAGGGGCATCCTTAGGGTGACTTGTCCTGTCAATGTTTTGCAGTGGGGATGGTGACTGACACATACAGCGCCTAGCACTGTGCCACCCCTGCTTCCAGGTGACCCGGGCTCTGACAACCGACACCTTGGACTCACCATTCATCGCCTCTTGAGAGGCCGTGGGAAGAAACCGGAGACATTGCGAAGCTGCATCTGTGCGTTAGAAATACCTTTATTGCACTAAAAATGTCGAGTTATTTGTAAAGAAACATTCCATTCATACAGCTTTTTTTTCTCTTTTTTTTTTCGGGTTTTTTTTGTTCCACTCCAAAAAAAGCATCATTTGAAATCCAAACACAGGGATATATCAAAGCGGAGATGGTAGAAAAGAGCCGTGTCAGGCGGGGAACAGAAACACCCCCACACCTTCCTTCCTGCTCACGATCCAGATGCACATGGGGATCACGTGGGAACACGGTGCGCGGGGACGGCCATCTCCAAGGGGCACTTGCACAAACAGGCAGCATCCACGGGTCACTGTGCTGGCCGGGAAGGAGGGAAAGCCGGGCTCGGGCTTCATGCAACGGGAGTGTCCCAGAATGCCTTGCAAAAGCATGCGCTGAGCCACTGCCGCATGCACTCGGTGGCACTCGGTGGGCTCCCCCCGCTGAGCTGGTGACATCCAGTGTGCGGGACCCACCTGCGGTTTAAGGGGAGGTGCACCCTGGCTCTGGTTAGACTGATCAGCGGCACGCTGGCATCAGCCACCCGCAACCAGGATGGGGCTCCGTGCCATGGCTGGGCCATGGACAGAGGCTGACACGCCAGCTCCCACCGGGGCAGAGCCATTTAGCTCAGACAGGCGCATGCATTAAGACACGGAGATCGCAGGCCAGCCCCCCCGGCGGACGACGTGAGGATCCCTGCTCTTTCCACCTGCCTCCTGCCAGCACCGGGTGTCAGGACGCACGTGGGAAATTCAGATTCGACTTGGGAAGACCCAGACCTGAACACTCCCAGTGGCAAAGTGCTCACGAACTAATCTGGGGGGGACTTGGGCTTCCCTGCTACAGGCTTCCTATATGGCCTTGGCCATGTCACTTAGCACCAGAACTAAATCCACCTGCTCCGTGTTGAAGCAGAGGGCAAAATCCGATGCTCAGAAAGTGAACCCCCCCACCCCTGTTTTCTCTTCTGGCCCATCCTGAGGTTTCCCCCTTTCAGCATCACAAAGCAATTCCTTCCCCTTGCACTTGCCTCCATCATACACATATCTGTATACGTATACATATGCATATGCATGTGTATATGCATGTGTATATGCATATGCATGTGCATATCTTTTCTGCTGTAATTAGTAGGAAAATCCCTACAAGCAAAAAGCCTTTCAAACCGGAAAATGGGACTTTTTGCTTCTCGTTTTCAAGCGTCTGCCCCGGGGCATTAGGCAGATCTCAGAATGTCTCTGTTGTCATCGCACGATAAAAGCTGGGGGCTGAGAAGTTTGCAGAGACAAGGCCTTTCCTGGCAAACCGCGGATGAGCTCATGGAACAGCAGGGAAAAGATGACGTGCTGGCAAATTCGCAGAGGTCCGCCTGGCCGATGTGACGGAGGGGATGCATGGGTTGGCAAATGGACCTGACTTGGTCTGCAGAGGCTTGAAATATTGCTGGCTGTCGCGGAAAATAAGCCCCAGACGTGAAGAAACCCAGCGATGGCAAGTGGAAGAGCCAGCGCCGCATGCATCGGCCCCCAGCAGAAGCCTGAGAGGGGCCGGAGCAGCACACGGAGCCCAAAAGCTCCCCCGGACCTAAGGCCTGAGATCCCCTTGACTTTCCTCCAGCTGCAAAGCCTGCCGGAGGCCTCTCTGCAGCGCTCGCCGGCAGCCCAGGCCGCCAGGTGCGATGGGTCAGCACACATGTGATGAGCGTGTCACAACACCGAGTGCTAGGGGCAATTAAAAATAATGTCCCATTGCGACCCGTCGTCTGGGCATCGGCAGCACAGCGGGCGTGCTGCCAAGCCTCCCGCCGCACGGCTTGTGTCTTGTTCCAGCGTGGGGGGGAGAGAAACTGCTTTCCCTAAGCGCAGGAGCACTGCTGTCGGCCTGCCTGAAGGCCCAGCGTGGGCCTTTCCCAATCTTTTATCGACGCTCGTTAGCTCAGATTCCAAGACGAAGCTATTTGAACCCCTGCTTGAACTGGATCTTCCCCCCGCCCATGTCAAAAATACTGCAAATGGGAGTTTCCCGGACACGTCTGCCTGTTTCCCAAGCTGAGAAACTCAACTGAGATTAAGGCCGGACGTTTGGTCTCAATGCATCTGAATTTTCTCCCTCCTCCCCCTGCAAAAAGTAGCTATTGTCAAGAAATACCCACGCCGCTGTAGCCGGCATCTTCAGAGATTGAGAGTTTGACTATGCGCTGTTGAGTCCTGCAGGACGTGGTCCATGCAACATGGATGTCTGAAGGTTTGACTAGGGACGTGACATTGCTGTTCAGCCGGACCCCTGCTCTGGGTAAAACCAGACCAGACCCGATCTTGAGCAGAATCGGTTCGAAGTGCCACACAGCCGCTGCATTTGCACAGCTCTGCTTCTCCCATAGCGGTGATTCTCAGCCGGGTGCCACAGCACCGTGGGGGGGAGCCTTGAGGTCCTTTGAAGGGTGCTGTGAAATAGCAGCACCGTGAGGTGTGCAAACACCTACGCCTGCTTCACGAGATAAGTGCAAGCACCATCTGAAGCGTCACAAACCATCTTCCCTGTCATGGGCGGGCCGCGTGCTTCGCAGTAGAATCGCTTGATCTCCTCTCCATAGGCGAGAAGGAGCGAAAGCAAAGAGCTGGCATTTTCCTGGGGTCAGGGGCTAGGCTCAAGATCACAAGCTCTGGGACGCGGCTGGGAAAGCCCGTTCCCTTTCGCCTCCTTCACAGCTGCAGCCCTGTCAGCAAAAGAAACCTTTCCGAAGCATTTCCCACCGCGGCTGAGAGCAGGAGCAGCCCTGGGGGCACTAGCATCAGGGAAAGCAAAGTCAGCTGGAGACTGACGGGCCCATTTCGGGACAATGCTCGAGATGTCAAAACTCCCCGGCGGGTTTTGTATGCCGCTGGCAGGAAAAGCTGAAAGCTGTCGAGTGAGTCTGCGGAGCGGGCTGGTGTCGACACCCCCCCGAGAGCAGATCAAAGGGTTTGCTATTGGAGCCTGTCTCTTTTCCACTGGCAGCGACTGGAGAGGTCGCCCCAGACATCAGCATCCTGCCCGTCAAGAGCTTGGGCTGGACTGATGCGTCTCTGCTCGGCATCAGGGAAACACCTCTTTTTGATTCATTTTTAAAAAAGCCCTCGTTTTGCTGCAAAACCACCTCTGGTTGGGTGTCCTAACTTCCAGGGGCCAACTGGCCCCATCTCAGCGAACAGGGCTCCTCATGTCCTCCCCTGGGGAGCTCGGGGAGGACTCCTGCTCTCATCTGCGACTCGGTTGACTTAGGCCGCGCTTCCAAGACCGCGGCTCCATCTCTCCTGCTTTGCTGGGGCCGAAGCTGGCTCGGGGCAGGGGGAGCATGAAGCGGGGCTTCGGGGAATGGCTTTGGAGTCACTAAAAGGCTGAAGACCAGGCTCTGGGATATTTGCACAGATACAGCCAAGAGCTGAGATCCTGTCCTCAGGGCCAGGATCTCAGCTCCACCGGTGTCAAGGCAGAGGAACGCCAGCCCTCCTAGACAGACACAAGCCCAGCCAGCGCTCAGCAGTCGCCCGCACCTCGACGGGTCCAGCCCCGGTAGGGATGGGAGACACGCTGCCACAGAGCGTGACTTCTGGGGCTTCACGTGGTCTCTCGGCAGCCGTGGGTCCAAAGCAGATGCGTGATCTGGGCCCCAAAGCAAGCCAGTTGCTTTGGAGCACAGTGGTCCTAACCCAAGGCAGCTCTCCAGGCTCATCCAATAGACCACACATGCCTAAATTTGCCCGACAACCCCTTCGCATCCCCGGTTCTCCTCGGACACCTGTCGGCTTTGCGCACTGGCCGCACAGAGGAGCGCGCGTGGCCGTGGGTGGGGAGAGCCCCTTCGGCATCCTTTTACAAAGCCTCCATAACGAGGAGCATCTCCTGCGAAGGACTCAAACATAACTAACTCCGCCAGGCAAGTAGCTCGGCGCTCCTCGTTAGTGATGTTTCTAAATCAAGGGAACGCAAATCAACGCATTAGCAAATGAATTCATTAGCGGCAGATGCCGGAAGACTATCAACACTCAAAGGCTGGGATGGATGAAGCTCCGTGGCAGGGACCTGACTCTGGCAGGGGACCAAGGGGATGTACATCCGCTCCCTTCCCCCAGGGCTCCTGGGATCAAGGGCAAGGAGACGGGCACTTCGGGACCAGCCGGGCTCTGCGGTTGGGTAGGATCAGGATGGACCTGGAGCAGATCCCGCTCTAAATGCACTCCAGATCGCTTTGACCTTGTGCCCCGAGCCAACCCCATGGCCACAGAGGGAAGGCTTTCCCTCGATGCAGCCGGCTTGGGAAGAGGCCCCACACGGCACCTGTCAGAGGAGCAAGAACAGCCCCCGAGCTGCGGCACCGTCCTGCATTCGTCGCCTCCCACTGCCCTGACGTTGCCCGCTGGGGCCAAGGCCAGAGGGTCTCATGGGAGCAAACTTCAGCAGCCCCCAGTACTGGGAGTAATGGAAACCTCTATCAGAAAGCAGCCGGCCCCCTTCTGCAGATCATCCCAGGAGCCACTGGTCGGTCGGGCGTCCTCCCCACCTGCTTTGGGGACCGGTGCTCAGCACCTCGAGCTGGGTGGAATAGGACAGCGCTTAGACACCAAACAGCTGGGCGACGCTCTTGCCAAGGCTGCTTTGTGAGATGGAGAGCAGCTATAAAGGCTCCCCTGATCCACCTGCTAGCAGTCTCCGGCTGGGGCTTCTCTGGCGTTCCCAGCCTCTCCTCATCGCGTTCCTGCTTTCTGTGTCGGGGTGCGTGTTTTAAACTCACAAGCTTGGAAAACAAAAGATAAAACCAAACGACCCGGTAACGAACCTATGGATATTATGCTCCCCCCTCCCCCACCTACAACATGCCATGCAAATATTGAAAGATGAAAACCCGTGCCTTGCGCGAGCCCCCTCAACCCTCCCCCCCCACCACTTATTTACACCCAGAAGTAAAATACAGTGGGAAAGATCAGCTCCAAATATAAATAGCTTGCACTGAAATCTCTGCAGCGACCATCTGCCACACAGTGCAGAGAAGTAGCAGCACACGCCGCCGGCAAAGGTTAGCGCACAAAAAGGGACCGGTGATCGGCGTGTGTGTATGTGCATGTGTGTTGTGTGTGGATGGGGGGGTTGGGGGGGGGCTGGTGTAGCCCTCTCCCCAGACACGCAGAGGACCTGACGCAGTGTGAGCATCGCAGGGAGCAATGGAGCAAAAAGGGGCTTGGTTGTTCCACCCCCCGCCCCACTCCAGATGATGGGCCCTATATATCCCTCCTGGGTCTGGCTGCCTCCTGGTTGCAAAGCCATGTCCAGGGGGAGACGGTGAAAGGCATCAATTTGCCCCCCCTAAGATGCACAAGGCAACGGGGAACCCTCAGAAGCCCCCCGGCCTTCCCCAGGGGCCGGCGTCTGCTTGCCCCCAAAGGGAAAGGGGCTCTCGGGACACTGCGGCAGCCGCCACCGACGGGCAGCGAAGATCTCCCGGCGAGGCAGGGCCAGGCTGGAGAGATGCGCTCCCCACCATCCCCCACCGGCTCGGTGTCAGCCCATTGTCTGATTTGATTATTCAAATGAGTCGGCAGTGAAAACGCACCCGGTTCCTAGCAGGACCGGGGAGGAGAGGAGGGCCGCTGCGCGCCAGCTGCCTGCTGTCAGCCCCAATTCCCGCCGCGCGATGTGAACAAGGAGGGGGGAAAAGAAAAAAAGAGGCTGGGAGGGTTTCTGTGGGGGTCCATCCCCCAGGGTCTGGTGCCTGCGAAGCTGGGGTGTTGCTCAGCCCCTTGGTTTCTGCAGAGAGGCTGGTTCAAACACCCCCCGCTACTCCAGCCTGCGCTAAATTAACCTGCAGGCAGCTCCAGCTGCATGCGAAGCTCTGGCTGCCGCGCGCCAGGCTCTGCGCCCAGAGTAGGTTATCAGCCGGGAGGCAAATCCAGCTCCATTAATGCTCCCTTACACTCGGCCGCCCCCTCTCTCCCCGCAGCACTCCCAGGTGAGGTCAGGCTGGGTCCCGGGCCTCACTTCCCGGCCTCAAGCTGGCGGGGCTGGGACCGGATCCACCCCAGGTTCGTCGGCCCTGGTGCTTTGTGCCATGCTGAGCGGGGCGTGGGAATCCTGCAGCGGGGTGCAATGCAGCCCCTGGGCTCAGAGGAGTGGGGCCGAGACGTGAGCTTTCCTAGCAGCAGACAAAGGAAGGGGCCCGCGGAGCAGAGAGGGGATGCAGGTGCCTGCCGGAGGGCTGCAATCTCTTTGCCGCAGCACCCTGAGGACAGGGGTCCCGGGCCCGAGGCGCTTTGAGGGGCCTGATTCAGAGGCTGCTGAGAGATGGGACGCACCTGGTTCAGGATCGGGCTCCCCGGG